CTAAGTTTTAAATTTCTTGTCTGAATCCTTCTTTGAACTAAGAGACTTTGATGTTCAAAAAACCCACCAGTGTTTAATCTTTCCACGTAGCACCCTAAGTCTCCAAATGCTGTAGTTACTTGTACTTAATCTTTCACCTACCAGCCAACACTGGTTTCTAGATTACTTCTCTCTGGAAACAGCATAGGAGGAAGGCAAAAAGCACATAACAAAAATAAATAAAATGGAATGTGTTTATCTGCAACCACTATATTCTTAAAAAACCCGAGAGAGTTATTGTGCAAAGATCTGTGGTGGTCATAAGATACATCTCCCGCTAACCCAAATCTGATCTCATGCAGAGGTTATGTTTGTACTTCACCCTCAACAGAGCCCTGCTGTCATTAGTCGAGACAGTGGGTGCACTCTCCCCTCTTGGTTAGATGTCCCCTTTCAGATTGGACTTCAGACTGATCCAGCCCAGCCCCTTTTCCCTACTAGGCTTCTGTGTAGCAAGCTCCACAGTACTTGGAGAGCAGCTAAGGGAAAGTCAAAGTCTGTGGCTATGTCAATGCTAATGAAAACAGGCCTTCAAACTGTTGTCAAGCATCTTTCTTAGTATTGGCTTATACTTAGTCTTAAATAGGAAGCAAGAGTTAGGCCACCAACAAGACTCTATATTGAGGCATCCCTAGTTAGTATTTGACATAGATATACCTCATTCTTGACCTATCAAAACCTTTAGCTTATCAATATTTGAAAATTTTCTTGTCCTGTGAGACTTCTAGGCAGCACTTACTGACAAAAAATTAACACCTAGAAGGAACTGTGTTATATGGAACTGGATTTTCTACCTGTGCCTCTATAAAAACCTGTGGGAGATACAGGTACAGAATAGATGTTAATGCTGCCGTGGGAATTAATTTCAGTCTGGATATATCTTCATATAAGAGCTAAGCGTATTACTTGCTCATTAATTTGTAGAGCTAGACCTACCTGCTATGTATGTTTCAAATTGTGAGGAAAGGCCCGTCGATCTCCTTTAGTTGTGCTAAAGCAATGGGTTTATATCTTTTTTTTTTTTTCCGCTGTATGCAGCTACACTGCACATGTTTGGCTGTATTGCTGTGATCAAAAACACTATTACCTGGATTCAATAATAGTATGTCAAAAAGCTTCAGGGAAATCCAGAGAACTGCCACCTCCTTCCCTCCATTACTCTTTTTCCCTCGTGCATTTTATTATGTCCTTTGCATTGCATCCCATGACAGGAGAGAGTATCAGGCTAATTCTCAGTGGCTTGAGGATATTGTCTTTTTGTACTTGAAGTAAATTATACTCTGGGGAGAAGAATGAAAATCTTTACGTTCAGTAAAAATGCAACATTGAAAAGCACTGACGTTGGTAAAAATGCACGTCAAGACATGTTCTCACAACATACTAAAACTTTTGTAAGCATTGTTTTTATGGTGTCTTTATTGTGTTTAGATGGCTCAAAGCCATCTAAATATCTAGGATCCTTTTAGAAGTTCTGGTTGATACAAAGGTATAACTAGACTCTCTCTGCTCAGCATTTGACTTACGGAAGAATTAAGACTTTCTAGCATGTTATACTGCAAATAATTTCTTAGAATAACTATTATAGGAGAGAAAGCTTGTTTTGCACAGCGTCCAGGGTACTGTTGAGTTTCAAGCATTATCTCTGAGGATCTTCCCACCATTCAGATTCACATACCAAGCTTAAATCAGATAGATGGCTGCTTTTCTTACCCTCCTTCAATAGTCGATACATAGAGATTCCTCAAAAAGATTGAAGAGCCCCTATTAGGTTCTCTGAACTGATTATTGAGGAAACATAAACTAGTCAGCTGGTCTTCCTTTTGTGCCAAGACAAATGCCTAAACTTATGTGTGCACTAGTCTTGCCTCTACTGGCAAAGAGGTAATACATGTGCAATTAGGGAAATTCTGTGTTCATATAGAAATATTCTTATAGCCTGTGTCTCTACCAATACCATATGTTTGCATTCTGTGTATGGACACACGCACACATACATTCTAGAGCTTGAACTGTGATTCAAAGAATGTCCCCCAAAGAATGTCAATAGAAAACAGTCTTTTCCTAAAAATTGTGTACACTGGTACAACAGCTGGCACAGTAGAGGCCAAATTCTGTATGGCACCTGTGTAATAACTACTTGTTCATACACAAGAAACAATGGTTCACTTTCATATACAAATACATAGTTTACTGTAACAAACACAATGTTTTCTAATTCTTTTAGTTCTAGGTAAAGCACTAAGTTCACTTTTTTGCTTTGTAGCACATGAGTCTTGGATTAATCAATAACATTATCATCTCTGATGTTTGGAAATCTGGAATTATCCTTAACAGACCTCAGGAAACTCTCTTAATCAAATGCCTAACTCCAGAAACTGAAGTTTTTCACCTAGCTTTCCCCACTTATCAAGTTATCTTGCATATTTTTTCAGAGGCTAAGCAGGTTATTCAGTTGTAAACTCAGATAATTGTACACTGAGTTGTTTTCCATGCGTTGTAAGTGCACAAGCCATTTTTTATCGAATGCAATAAACGCTCCTGTTTTCCTTGATAATTTTAAGTTGCTTATTCTTCTACATCCAGACTGATTATTATACCTAATATTTATTTATTTATTTCATTGCTCTCTTTACTGAAATAAATATTTTCCTAATTTAAAAAAAATTACTATGTGAATATTTAAACAATGTTAAACTAGAAATTTTCAAAATAAAAGGAAAGAAAGTTGTAGGTGTCCACTGCTAGTTTCTGAGTTCACAGTTATATGTTCAAGGATTACTCATATACATAGCTTTATGTGACTTTAGTATGTCCAGCTGCTAAGAATAACTTAATTTAATAAAAACTGCTAAGGTACTTTTCAGCAGACAGCTCATGCCTTTCCTAAGGCTGTTCAGTGTGTCACAAACTGTACCCCATTCCCCTTCTCCCCGTCCCCAGAACTTCTTGGAAAATGCTAATATTAATGAAAGTGAGAAACTCGCTGTACTGATCGGTTAGGATTACTTAGAGGACTGAATGAACAGGTCACTTTTATTCTCTTCTTGTCTTTGGCAGGCAGCTCTTTCAAAGAGCTGTTTAGAATAGTTATGTAACGGTTAATTATGTTCATTAAATTGTGGGTACAACTGATTTTAGGGGAAAGGGAATTTTGAAGTTACAGATGTGTGGATAGTTTTTTGAGGGTGTTTTTGTATTTTTGCTGCTATTTAAGTGTCTGTGTTGGAGGAGAAAGGAAGAGAGAATAGTATGTGTATAGTGCTGTTTGGTTGGCACAGAGTATCCAGGATTGCTCAAACAGTGCCCTTTGTAAGGAGTTGAGCACTAAGAGAGGGAGATAATCATAGTACCTAATCTGGCCTGTTTTTGCAATCACAGTGAACTTCTATTCACTTCATTATATTAACTAACTTCTCCTCCCACTCTGCTTTCTTTTTTTTCCTTTTTTTCCCCCCTCCAGTTGGCCTAGACTAGAACTGATTGAATGCAAAAGCTAGTCAAACTTCTGTAGTAAAATTCTTTCAACAGTTAAACTTTTCCATTTATGGTGTATGATTTAAGATCTAGCTTTCATCAGATTCCTCAATATCAAATCAAATGGGATCCTAGTGTGGCTGAAGGACTGCTTTCTTGCTCAATACATATTTATAAGTAATATTTCCATGAAGCATATGATACAGATGATCTGTATATCATCTATTTGTAAGTAAATTCTGATAAACACTAATGCCCATTAAATGGTTTCTTCCTGACAATCCATTTGAGAGGCCTTCAAGATAATTCAGGATCCTCATCTGAAAAGTAGAGCTTTAAGATGATAAAAAGTAATGTGCATGTATAAAATATACAAGAAACTAGAAAGTAGAGGGAAGAGAAAGAAATCTCTGCTGGGATTAATTGTCTAACATAAGCAGGCTATGAGGTACGAGATGGTGAGGATTAGGTTTCACTTCAGGAGCCTGCAGATAAGGTTTGGCGTAGTTAATACTATGATGTTCCAAAAACTGAAATCGGTTTCCATTGAGGTTTCTTCTAACCATTCTTTCTAGGAAGAAGGTGAAGAAAATGATTATGTCGGGGAATCCTGGCATAGATATGAGAAATTTGTAATTTATTTAAGGTTGTGTTTTACTAGTTGCAGCTGACAATTCTTTTAACTCTGTTGCTTTTGTTTTGATATGTGATGTAGTTTACAAATTAATAAATACAGATTAAGAGACTTCAGAGAATGTTAGTTAACACTTTCATCATGGTGAATATATTTAATACATGAAACTGCTGAGGATTAGACTGTATTTTATTTCATCAGACTAGCAAAAGCAATAACAATTTGAAAGGCTAGCCTATGCATGCTACCTTTAAGATATAAACCTACACTTCAGTTTGTGAAATGAGGTACTGAAAATTCCTGATTGCCTTAGTTCCTTTGAAAATCTCAGGGTAGAAGCCTGAATTGTAGCTGTTTAGGAAAATTTAATACAAAGTTTAAATCATTTGCCTGGGCTATCCCTCAATTCTCCAAATTCAGTGCCAGGGAACTTAGTGCAGGAGATGCAGCAGAGGCAAATTTTTGTTGATGAATTGAGAGTAAGCTTTATAGAAGATAGTGTTGCCTTCCTACTCACCGATTCACAATGTCAGAAATAAATTTTAGTTACAGTGCATAGCAGATCCTTTTCTCTACCATCGCCACCACCATCCCTTTTTTTTTTTTATTTTAAAGGGGAAACTGTAATTAGACTGGAAATCAGAATTACTGCATCACCAACTTAATTTTCAAGATCAGTCTCTAAGATAATTTTCTATAATATTATCTGTAATTCCTCTATGTAGATGTTATCTCAGAAAGGAATATGTTTAACTGATTCTTCCTTAAAATTAACCATTGCCCTTCAACACACTGTCCACCATGTCTTTCAGCAGTACTAGTGTATGATGTTACCTTATGAACAAGGGTCGTCATGGTCCTGACGACAGACAGGATCTCTGTTTTAGTGAGCAGGTTCTCATTATTTCCGCTCTGGAGAATGAAAAATTGTGTAATGGGTAACAAGGGAGATGAATCAGCTGCATTATTTTATGCTGTTTTAGAGAGGTAGGAGGGACTTATCCTTGAAAATATGCTTTAGATATGCTGATGACCATATCTTTCAAATAGTAAACTGGAAGTATTAATGATTTTGTAGAGTGTCTTTGTGTGACTAAACAAGACCATGCTTTGAGGGATAGGAGGTGTTCCTTCCATAAGATTTTGTATATCTCTTCTACAAGTCCTGAATGAATCTGATAAAGTATCAAACTGAATAATCCTAAATGTGGCCTAAGAAAGAAGTCTGCCTTTTTTTTTTTTTTCCCCCCCTCTGTATTTTATGTAGACACTGTGGGCATTTTCTACAAACTCCAGTTTCCTCTTCTGGCCCAAAAGCATGATTGCCATCTGTTAACAAATCAATGGGGTTCTAAGTTCATCATGACAATTAATTCAAGGTAGTACAATATCTCAGTATGATTATGGTTCACTAAATAAAAGTTCTGCTTAGTGTCCAGCAGCAACCAAAGGGGGAAAAAAAAGTACTTTCTGCTGAATGAAAGTAAGATAGACAGAACTTGAAACCACTCACTTGTTTGATCCAATATATCAATTTCTGTTTCTAGGAGTGATTTGCTTAAAATACACATTGAAACAATAGCTAAATCAATGAATTAAACTTGTTACTATGCCCACATGTTGAAAACACATTTTTTTTAACTGTGGTTTTCATCTTACTTTCCTGATGCTCATTTGACCTCCACACTGTGGGGTGTGGTTTTTTTTTTTTTTTCCAGTTATTGAAGAATTACCAGAAGTGGAGAATTGAATGCCCAGAAATAAGTGCAGATTTACGACCATCTTCCATTCTTGGTCTTTTGCGGGCTGGCTACCACGGAGTCCTGAGATCAAGGGACCCACATGGAAGTAAAGTTCTAATATACAGAATAGGTGAGTGACAAAACTTCTTGGACCTGATTCACACTTGGCTCTTAAGCTGATAATTTTTTTTTTTTTTAAACTATCACAATTTCAGTGGAAAAATTATTTTATGGGTACAACCCTAGGGGTTGGTAAAATTGCAAATGAAGTCAGAATGCCTTAACTAGAAGGATAACATATTTCTGTTCCCTTTTGTAATATGTATGTATTGTTAGAAATACCTTTACATTAATATAAAGGTGGGCTTACTGAGGTGAAAAGGAGGTATATCGTTTGACCTCTACACTAGTATGGCTAAAGCTGTACCATCTTTTATGAAGAACTGATTTCCTTCTCAGTGGTATCTATGTCTAAATCAAAAAAGTTGTAAGGTTAAATATTTAAAATTTTTAAGTATATATAGTTATTTGAGCCTGAGAGTCCAAATGGTAGTTGGTTTCATGGGGATTTTCAAAGCCACGTGCTGAGACTGTGGTACAGGTGTAGATGTGGCTTTTGGGGAAAGAGAGAATAGCAAAATGCAGGCACACCTGATTATGTACCAACTTTCAATCTAGATGTGGATGAAATACAGGCCTGAGGTGAGAAATTCACTGAATTTCCATCATTTAGATGTAGCCAGCACACCCTGTATAAGCAACAGAGATCCTTGGTTTGTTTGACGCAGTCTCAACAGTCTTTTAAAAAAAACATTGTGACTAAATGATTACGCATTGGCCCGTTTCTTTGTTTTGTACAGAGAAATGACTTTGCCAACTCTTAAAGAATTTTTTTAATACCAGCTGGTCTAACAGAAAGTATTACGTCTTTGTAGAAAGATGTGCTCTCTGAAGATCACAGCTGGGGTTAAGACTGCTCCCATGCAATTCTTTGCTCAGGCCTCAGAAAAAATGGGACTCACTGAATCTCAGGAAGATTATGTACTGAAGAATAGGCTATGAATTGATGATCTGTGGCTTCCTTCAGGAGTTCCTGAAACTGGTGGCCAGTGATTATCCCCTTTGAGCTATGCCATGCTTCCATTTAGTTTCTGCTAACCTGGCTTAAGCTCTTGCTATCAAACCCTGGTATTGGAGGCCGCAGCAATAGGTGGAAAATACTATATTAGGTAACCTCTCTGGTATCAGCCATAAAATACTGTGTTAAAAAATGAGTAACAGAACAGGCACAGAAAATAAACAGATTTGCCAGTAGATAAGTTATTTCAGAACCTTTGATATTGGTGGTTACTTCTTCTTCCTGAGAAGCACATTAGAAGCAGTAGCAAGTGGAAGTAGAGGTGTATATGGTATCCTTGTGGTAATAGAGTGTAATCCGTTACTCTTCAGGACAATGGGATCCCAAGTTATTTACAGCATATGATGTGTTTCGGGTAAGTCTTATCACATCTGAACTCATTGTAAGGGAGATCGAGACTCAGCGAAATGGAGTCAAGGCTATCTTTGATCTGCAAGGGTGGCGATTTGCTCATGCATTTCAAATCAGTCCGGCAGTGGCCAAGAAAATTGCTGCTGTGCTCACAGTAAGTATGACATATTGCTTTAAGCTGTTTCACTGCTGTCCATCCAAATTTTTCCGTTTTAACTTACCGCAAACTTTCCTTCCTTAGGTCTTTGTAGAAGTCATGCAGCTTGAAAGAACAAAATCTTAAATCTGTTCAAAGTCAGATAACTTAAGTATAAGTTGTGCTTGATTTGACATAAAGTATGCTCTTCTATAAGAGCACACACCCTTTAACCCCCAATGTATTTTTTGAACTCCACCAACCTGTTAAAGCATAAGAATTCCAGGAGTGTAAGAACAGATGAAGCCTGGTTTTGTAAAGATCTGTGTTAGTTATCCCATTTCAGTTCCTCTGTTCCATTCTTTTGTGCATTAACTCTAGATTCAAAGATTTTTTTTTTCTTTTCCCTGATACCCAGAGAAGATAGCATGTGCTAAGAGCAGTCAAGAGCAAGATGGTACTAACTTGTTGGCCGGTGTGGCTGGTATTAAGTGACTATCCGTCTGCTACCAACGGAACATATAATGCTCATGTTCTGCTTGCTTTTCCCCCTGACATGTGCATTGTTTTGTGCAACTCACTGCTACGTGACCTCTCATTTCACAAACCTTGTAGGGACTGACTGTCTTTAAGATATTTTTCTTTCTCTCAAATTCGGTTGAGCTTTGCCAATAGATTCAAAAGTTACTTGAAAAAAAAGAGGGAAGGATAGAGAATTGACAGGTGAGCTACGGTGTAGTCCTATAAGCCTTTTTTCCTTCAGAAGTTAGGCTGAAAATCAGTAATAATAAAACTATTAATCTGTGACGTAGCAATGACCCAGGGAGATAATCTCTTGCTTTGATGTGGAAAGGTTCATATGTGAAGTTGAGTCATTGGACTAATAGCATAGGAACTTCAGCTGTTCTTTCTTTTTGATATCTACTCTGAAACTTCAATGAAACCAGCAGACATTCGCAACTTTTCCTATCTAGAACTAGAGAAATCCTGATGCTCTTGGGTCAGATCTCATCAGTTGCTGTGAGAGTATTTTAGTTGCTTTCTGAGGCAATGGACAAGTTGCTATAGCCTTCAGATAGTGAGAGGAAAGGAGGAAGACGAGGACTGACAGTTAAATCTGAAGGTTTCAATCCGTACCTGCAAGCAGAAAATTCTTTGAATGTGATGTTTCTGTCTTGACCTATTACCAATTTGTTCCATGTTCTTCAAGCTTCTAAATGCTTGTTATAGCTGCTGAAAATGAGAGAAAAAAGATTGTGTGTTTCCAGTGTTATTTTACTTTTAAGAAAACAAGCTTGACTCTTCTTTCCTTTCATCCTTTAAATTGGGTTCATATATTTCATTCAGAAATTGTTTAATGTTGCTCAATATGCTTATAAGTAAAAATTTAGGAACCTTAGTTTCAGGCCTATTTTTTCTCTTAAGAATGTTATCTTTCTTCCAAATCATTATCTTATATGGAGGAATAGGAGTAAATATAAAGGAAATGTACAAAAGAAATGGAAAGCATAGTAACGTCAAAAACTAATAACAAGTAGCATCATTTTGAAAAATCTGTTACCCCAGGCAAAACCAAATCATTTTGTGAAAAAATGATAGTAGAATTTAAGCATATAATAATACGTAATAACATACAGTAAATATATAATCTGATAGTTTTAAAGTCTTTATCCTGCATTAAAACCTAAAAGGAGTTTGCACTTAAGAAATTGTGTGTGTGTGTGCATTTTTTTTCCTTATCCATAGACAAATGCATGAAATAATGTGAAGAACGCTACTGTACTATAGGGGAGAACTGTTTGTGAGAAGCACTGATTCTATAAGTAGTAGAACTGTGGTTACAGAGGTAGTATCAGCTAGGTGGATATGCATGAAAAGTATTCTTTCCCTTATGCTTAATGCTGTCTTTGGTTATTGCCGCATTTTCTGTTGAAGTTGTGGCACTTTTAAATGCATTCTGAATCTAACTAGTAATATTTCATATTACAAAGGCAATATAGCAGATATATTTTTTATTTTCACTACCACAGTAAAGAAAAATAATCTTGCTGTAAAGCTGAACTTCTGACTGGGCAAAATTCCCAGTAATTTCAGATCTTGTCTCTAAATTATCAATATCATTTATTTAACTTAAAGTTAGTAGGTTTAATGCTTTATATTTGACTATAAAATATTTTCCTGTAACTTAATATTTTCCCCAAAATATCCTTAAAAATATAATTTGCAACATGGTGTATTTATTTAAAATAAACAGTTTGCAGGCTTCATTATTTCTTTGCAAACCTTTGGTTCAGTACCAACAGACTCTCTTTGAACATACCCTCTTTCATGCTGTGCAAGTGCCAATAAAAACACATGGCTAGCTGCGTTTTTTGGTAAGTTAGTAGCACAATCTCTGCTGTGAAGAACTGGACTTCTGAGGAAAGGCTGAACACAAGCTTTATGTGCATTACTTATACTGAAATGCCTTCCTTCCAGTGGGAGGAATAAGACATGTTTTTCTAAGCTTTGTGAGGGACAGAGTAAACTAGGTACACTCCAAAGTGCAGGAATTAGCAAAGTCAAGGGGAGTGCTGTAACCTATGGACTAGCTAGTCTTCAGAGACTTGTCCTTAACAATAGAATCATTTTAATAATTTCTTTTTCTCACGCTGTTTCTCGTATATGTTGTCAGGATTCCTTTCCGCTGAAAGTTCGAGGTATCCACTTGATTAATGAGCCTTTATTCTTCCACCCAGTCTTCGCTCTAATTAAGCCTTTTCTCACTGAAAAAATAAAAGAACGGGTGAGTTCACACAAAATATTTCTTTCTGTTACAATAACCCTGCTAGAGATATGACAATCTCTAGCACTTCCCTTAGAATCTGTTACTTCTGAGCACTGAAAAGGATAAATTATTTTTGTGTTTTATTGCTGTACAGGCCTCAGAAGTCTAACTGCAAAGCATTCGCAGGCATCAATAATGTGAGAGTTGCAAGTGGTTGCTATTACCACCACTCTAAAGATAAAAACCACTGTGACATAGGGAGGCTGGATAATTTGCTTAGTTACACAGAAAATATTCCACAGACTAGAAAGGAATAGGTGCCAGATCTCCCTACAAGCTGCCTATAAACGATAATGAGAAACTGTCACTGAACGGTGTTGTTATGCTCCAAGACATATAAAGAGAATTTTCTAAGTCCAAAGAACGTGTAGAGGCATTTATCCATAGCAAAATAGGCCGGGCTAAAGTTCCAACTTGTTTTCCAAACAGCTTCTTAGTTGTCTTGTATTTATTTGTAGCTTTAAACCTGAAAACCCTGTTTGTATTTGGAGGCAAAAGCATGCCAAGAATTCTGAAAGGGCTTATTGTGGTGTAGGAGGAATTTTGGAGGTATCAGCTGGCAGAGAGCGTATGCTGTGAAATGTGAACATCAGGACTAAGGTACAAAAGAAGCAGCCCTCTCTATTCTTATTCCCACTTGGAAGCTTCCTTGTCTGAGGCCCTGGATCTCATGCACTCGCAGTAGCCACTTAGCTCCAGGACAGCGTATCCAGATTTTGCTGGCCATGGTGGTTTGTGATTTGCCAGTCTGCTTTTCCTGGTATGCATGATCAACATAAGAGAGGGGTTAGATTGTTTCTGCCAGCCTTGTGCAGTTCCTAACTCTCAAAAGATTATTTAAAAAAGAAAAGAAAATGCTGCACCATCTTCATGCCGTGGCCTTTCCTCTGTCATATTAAGGCCTGTGTAAGAAGCCCCTGCAACCCTCACTGCCTGATCCAGCTTAGAGAATCCCATGGACTAGGCAGAACTCAAAAAGGAGAAGACAGGGCAGATGGGCAGTGAAGGCCTATTGGAAGAGATAGACCAAGCATCACGGTTCATGGAATGGAACAGAAGTAGACCAGCTTGTCCCCTGGCCTTAGAGGTCCAGGTATGAGCTGAAGAAAAACTAGCAGGACCAGTTCCCCTTGTCTTCCTGGGAATAACTGCTATTCTATAATTATCTTAAGTCCTGAGGAGGGTGTTTTGGACAAAAGACGCCTAGCTGCCTTTTCAGTGCGTATTTTTGAAGTCTTTGTGTTATGCATAATTAATTGCAGAAAATCCTTGAAAAGTGTTAATAAGTAGTCTAGAAAAGTTTTTGTTTGGAAGTAATGAACAAGGCTTCAAAATACCTATAATAAGGCAAAAGGAGAACAATCACAACTAGCTTATTAGAAGGCTTAAAGTGGGGGAGCAGTCCTGGATCTAATTTCAGTTAAAACTGAAAAATAAGGACTGAAATGTAGGACTGAGGTACAGGTTCTTCTGAATATCATCCTTGGCACCTATCCAAAGCTACATACATAGTACTTGATGTTCTTAAATATATAGCAGGATAGTAATGGCCAGGTGCCAAACTTTTCATTTCTTTGAAATGACTGAAAGCGAGTGCATGGTATCTTGCATGACAAGGCCAAAGGCCAAAGGTTTTCCCATGGTTTAGATCACGTTAGCTGTGTGAACACAGTGTGTACCCTAATCAGCAGAGCTAAACCAATCCAAAACAAGTGTATAGAATTAGTCTTGGTTCCTGTGCCTGCAGCTGTGTAAAATGCAGCACTCAGGTTGTAATCCATGCTCACTCAAGCTGCAAATACTGAGCAGGACAGAGTTCAAGTGCCTACAAGAAACTTACTTACAGAGTACTTTCTCCCTCGTGTAAGGAGCTCATTATGAACATGGTAATATTTTGTTTAGTGGAAACAAGCTGGGGCTTCAACTCTTGCATTGAGTTTCTTTGGTGTCTATTTTCACCTGAAAGTCTAGCATTCGTACTGAAGTAAATGCTTTCCATATTTTGTTTCAGGTATATATGCATGGAAATAACTACATGCAGAGTCTGACTGAACACTTCCCAGTTAGCATTCTTCCACGAGAATATGGAGGGGAGGAAGTCTCCATCGACATACTTGCTGAAGAATGGACTAACTTCATAATAGCATCTGCAGATTATCTTCAGAGTATTTCCCTGGTTACCCATGAATAACTGCACCACAGTATTATATCAATTCCTGATGACTGGAAGCGGAGCAAAGTTTAAGCTGAAGTCTTTCACGTAAACTTGAAATTATTGTAAATAAAACCAGTATGTCTTTGCAGGGTGCAGAATATCATATTAACTGCACTTTTATACTAACTAAAGTATGTATATCTGAAGGGATTAATGAATTCCATATGTTTGCAGTACTGTTTGTGATTGATTAACTTGTGTGCCAAAAAGCTGAATAGTCCTATGCACTGGATGTCAGAGACTGATATTGCTCCTGTTAAATCTTTGGACACTACTAAGCTGTAATAGAGAACCTTATGCTTATCTCTTGTATCTTGACTTGTCAAGATGAAAGGATACAAAGCCAAATGATTTAAGAGAAGTGCAGAACGTGAATGGGGTAGATTAGTTTGCTGTGGAAGTATTACTACAGGGTTAATTGTACAAGGAGTGAAAAGCAGAAGAGCTTTTTGGACTGATTCTCAGGGAAATGTCTGTTTTGTTAGTTTGCACTGCTGAGACTGCACAGTCAAGCTGAGGATTAGTCAGCAATAGCGAGATATTTCTGTCATCTTTGTGCTGCTTAGCACAAAAAGGGAAGCTGCATTAATTAACACAATTTGCCAGTTTTACAGAGGAAGATAGAGAAAACACAATGTACACGTTCTTGACAGTATGAATCAGGAGGAGGAATGGGTAAGTGACTCAACACAACTTTGAAAATTCTGACTATGTTTCTTCAAAGAGATGCTCTCTTCCGAAAAGCTGTAAGCAACTCGGATTATGAACACCTTTAATTGGTCCTATAGAGCACTATAGAGGTCGAGAGAGCTGTTTGCAGTATCAGTTTGTCTGTTTTGGAGGGTGAAGTAGATTATCCTTTGTGGACCTGAACTTTAGAAATAGGTTATGTGGTTTAACGATGCTTTGTAGGTTGCTTCGGACCTCAGCCTCGGAGATGCTGAGTGTCTTTTGAGTATCTTTATTTTTGGAATGGTAATTGGCAGCTTGCCAGCCTATATCTTCTGTTGGGCACTGGAAGAATTGTTTTATACTTTCGGTAGAGCCATCTTCTCTTTTTCTGTAAGGGTAATGAAGAAAAAAATCTGTCTATACTTCTTGAAAACAGATTTTTTTTCCCAAAAGGCACAATTCAGATACAAACACAGTATGTGTAAAAGTTGTCGTTCACATTACATAGCAATATCATCTTATATTCCCCAGGATTTAATAATCTAAAGGGTTAATTTACTTTCAACTCTGCTTTCTGTTAAAATTTCTGTTAATACCCAAGTTCTAGAGTTCATTTATCCCCTTGTTTATCTCAGTTTGGTAACAAGTCAGGGGTGTTGAATTTGTAAATTTATTTAAAATTTAATTATTAATTATTTAATTAAGTAAGTATAATTAATTTAAGTATTATAAATTGAAGTATTCTATATCAATCTTCATACTAATGTTTTTCAGATAGATAGAAATGCTTATATCAGTTATGTTGCTATCTTTAGTAGATCTGAATGTTATATTAATTCATGCTTAGGGGAGAGAAATGAGAAATAAGATTATCTTATTAAATCAGAAATATCTTATTTTAGATTATCATTGATATTGCATTATTGCAATAACCATTTGAACCTATTCTTTATTAGCAGGAGGAACATCTAAGAAAGGCACATACAGTATTAGGTGTAATTTGCTCTGCAGTGATGTCTATGCCAGATAGAATTCTTTCAAAAATTTCCAAACGGACAGCAAATAAATATTTTTTTAAATTCCCTCACCTCTAGTACATTTTCATTCTAGTACATTTTCTGTCGTTCTTCTCTTTCGTCGTATCTTTGATATAGAGCCTAAATTTAAAGAAAAAATTTTCAGATGCATTTTCATATATTCTTATATTTCATATTGTCGTCTTTGTCACCAGTGCACCTGTTTGTGATATGATAAAAACTGCTTAAGTAGAGGAGTTCAGGATTGTTTATTCTTCTGTATGAGAAAATAGACTAGGTAGACAGGCCTCTCTCAGTTCTGCAAGTATATAAGTCAAGTTCCAAATCATTTACACGCTGGAGAACTGGAAGCTATTGTCTCGATTTTATGCTCCCTCAGTTTTAACCCTTGAATAAGTACCATATAAAAGGAAAAAATCATGTTTCAATTAACAGGAAAATCACACTTGTCTTATGAAACAAGACTCTTAATTATAGCTGTTTTACCTAGAAGACACAAAATACAAACTACTTGAGTTAGACTACTTAGTTGCACTTAGTGTATTTTTTTCATGAGCTCTTAATTAGCTTTTAATGTTTACACATTAATATAGAAACTAGAAGTCCTGTATACAAGGACCAACCTTGGTTGCTGCTAATAATAAGGATGTAAGATAGTCATGCTATTCTGCATAATGAGTAAAAGAGGTATTAGTATGATGGCTGGAGATATGATAGCTTTGAACTGTAGGGTACACAAACAAAACAAAAATCTGCAAGTGCATTATTCTTCTGAAATAAGACCAGGAGTGCCTTTAAAAAAAGAAACTTGCTGATGCAAATATAATTTACTACTGACTATAAGCACACTGTAATGCACCATGTTTTATAATTTTGTACATACTGACATCATTCTAATAATAAACCTTTTCTATATTAACCAGCAAATTTTGTCTGTTTTCAAGAGCTCGGAATTATTTTACCATAATATAAGCATTACTTTTTCTATGTGTTACCTCTTTCTAACCCTTGCTTGCAATATTAGTCAATAAAGTACGTTATTTTGTACGGCTCTTAGGAAAAAAGGCAGCTGGTAAGCTATTTAGTAATTGGAAGGCGTTTTCATCTTTGACTTGTAGGCTACTTGCCTCCTGTATCCTCAAAAGGCGTACTGAAAGAAGCTAATGTTTGCCTTCTCAGAGACAGCAGATTGGACCAGAGGGACCTCAGTAAAACCTATAGCAATCTTTTACTCTCTCTGGCTTAGGAAAAACATAATGAGCGTAAGAACTGCTAAGGATTGGGCTTTATTAGGATTGCAGTTTAACGATTAATAATAAAGACCACTAATTGCTTTACTCTGGAGGAGAGCCACGGCTCCTAGAAGGGCTGTCGGGCCTCAGAGGCCATGCCGCAGTGCTCCGTGCCAGGAGCAGCCCACGCGCCGGGGCAAGAGCGCCCGCGGCCGAGGTGCCCGTGACTGCCCGCTCAGGGCTGTGGCGCCGGAGGTGGTCTGCCTCTCCGGTGAACCTCGGTCAAACCATCCGTTCGCTACAACAGCTTCGATGATTTTCATCTGTGTGCTTAAAAACAAAAAAACGAAATAAACCCCAGTTATTTAATTCCCTTATATCTCTCTATTTCTGACGGGTTATGGAGCGTAACGTTGTTAAACAGGGAATGTTATCCACGGTAGGGTAATGGGGCAAACGTGATGCTGTCAGAGCCAACATGGATGGAAAAGGAGACAAGCTAAGGCAGGCGAGCCCGGCGGGGCAGGTGGCTCGGTGGCGCAGCAGGCCTCGGAGGGGGATTTGGCTGGTGCGGAGCCTGCAGCCACG